TGTCCTTCAATACGTTTAAGGTGAAACTTGTAGACAGTAGAAACGCCTTTTTCGGCCCAATAATTTACAACCTTATACAAACCGTCATATGTGTAAACCTTTCCCACATAACTACTCTCGCATTTATGTCCACGAGTTACTCGAACGGGCACACCTTGCGCAACGCAATTCTTCAGTCCAAGGTTACCCCGTAGCATGACTTGGTCTTTCATTTAAGGCTTATTGCCAAGTAAGTCATTTCCTCCTTGGCCTGTGTAGACAACTTCATCGTAGTTATCTTGATCGTCTTCATATTGGCCAGATAGTACAATGGATCTTGTCAGCAGCAGTGTGTACCCTTTAAACTCCTTTGCTTTTGAATTCCCAACATAATCAATTCCATTGAGCCAATGGTTATGGAACCCGATAACAGCCATATCACATCTTGAGAAAAATTGATGTCCGACTTCAACCCCTGGTATATTGCCGAAGGAGTTTGGAGTCTCGATGGTCTCATTGTTCTCTTTCATCTAGGATAACGCTTTCAGATCTAGCTTGAAAGATCTTTTCTTCTCATCCTCTCCAGCAGCTTTCTTTGGCTTTTCCTTCATCTTCAACCTAGTTTCTTCTTCCTGGACAGCTTTCAAATAAAGCTTGTTGAAGAGGCAAATAGTTTCTGTAACCGACTTCTGAGGAGTTTTGCAGTCTGAATTGGTCAGAACCACATTCGCTACCTTCGCGCTGGAGTGGGTGACTCCGTTCTTCTCCTCTTTTTGACGCCTCCGTTTCCATTCTGGGGAACTTTCCTTAATGAGGCGACCTTCTTCTCCAGCAACTCGATTATATATATATATATATATATATATATATATATATATATATATATATATATATATATATATACACACACATACATACACACACACACACTTGGGGGAAATACTTGGGAGCTCCTATTTGTAAGGGTAAACTGAAGAAAAAAGATTGTGGGGAAATACTGAAACATTTTAATAAATACATTGATACTTGGTACAGCAAAACCCTTAATCAAATGGGAAGGCTCATACTCATAAAACATGTTTTATCATCAAGCTCATTACACCTCATTGCTGTTCATACACTCCCAAAATCCATCATCAACAAATTGCACTCAATGATAAGCAATTTCTTCTGGGAAAGAATAAGCACCACTAGAAAAAATGGGGTGACCTATGTTTACCTGACTGAGGGAGGTTTGGGACTAAGGGATATTCATGAGCTACAGGAGGCCTACTCAATAAAACTCTGGTGGAACTTCAGATGCAACAATTCTAAATGGGCACAATTCATGAGAGCTAAATATGGAACTCATAATTTTGAGGAAAAGCTCACAGACTCACCTACAAGGAAGAGGATTTGCAGAATTCACATTAAAGCAGAGGAATACCTTGGTGATATCACAGGGGAGCTGGATGAGGAAGAGGACTTTGAGGCAGTACATATGTCCATTAAGCAGGCCTTTGAATATTGCAGGAGTCAAAACAACTTTCAGATCAGTGACAAATTTAACTGGAATACTCTTCAAATACCAAAAGTGCAGATGTTCGTATGGAAAGCAAACAATAATATATTACCATTCCCAGATGCTCTGCGCACAATTGGATATTGCCTACCTTACAGATGCCCTTTCTGTCACAATCAAGAAGTTAACATAGATCATTGCCTCCTACAATGTAATAAAATAAGGGGGATTAGGGAGAATCTTGCAAGTAACTTTGATGGTCCAGAATTAAGAGAGGGGATTTCGCTTAAGCAGCATATCATGGAGTGGAACTTAAGGTCAGATAATAAAACCCTCAGAGGAATTATGAAGCTGATTTTACCAGAAATCATAACATGGTCAATATGGAAACACTTTGCAGAAATTACCTTCGGAAACGAGGAGAACCCAACTGCCATTAATCGGACATTGAAGGACATTCTGACAACCTGGAGCTGGAAATACAAACACAAGGGGTGGATGATCAAGGATAAAACTCTGATGGAATTAGGACTCCAGTGCTTCGCATTGAACGAGGAAGCAATACGTACAGCGGTGAACGGGACATGAGGATTACTAATACTGGTTTGGTTTGACTTTTAGCATATTTCCTAATGCTTTGGTTATTCTTTCTATCTTTTGTAATGCTTTGATTGTAATATTTTGTTGTTCTTTACTTTCGGGGCGCCGGTCAAATCCTCCCTGAACGTGTTGTATGATTTTATTTTACAATTTTATATATATATATATATATATATATATATATATATATATATATATATATATATATATATATATAATCGAGTTGCTGGAGAAGGTCGCCTCATTAAGGAAAGTTCCCCAGAATGGAAACGGAGGCGTCAAAAATAGGAGAAGAACACAGTCACCCACTCCAGCGAAGGTGGTTTCGACCAATTCGGACTGTAAAACTCCTCAGAAGTCGGTTACAGAAACTATTCGCCTTTTCAACAAGCTTTATTTGCAAGCTGTCCAGGAAGAAGAAACTAAGTTGAAGATGAAGGAAAAGCCAAAGAAAGCTGTTGGAGATGATGAAAAGAAAAGATCTTTCAGGCTAGATCTAGATGTGAAAGCGTTATCCCAGATGAAAGAGAACAATGAGACCATTGAGACTCCAAACTCCTTCGACAATATACCAGGGGTTGAAGTCGGGCATTAATTTTTCTCAAGATGTGAGATGGCTGTTATCGGGTTCCATAACCATTGGCTCAATGGAATTATATACATATATATGGGATTGACTCTTGTGAGATGACACCTTACGGTGAGATGACATGCTTTGGTGAGATGACGCAAAGCTCACCACACTGCACTGCAAAACTCACCAATGGCCAATGTAAAGCTCATCTGGAAATAAGGCAAAGCTCACCACTTTGAACACCAAAACTCACCTTTTTTTTTAATTTTGAAAATTAAAAAATTAAAAAAAATAAAATAGCAACACCGGTCAACCACCGGTAAGCGGCGGCAGCGCGGCGGCAACGGCGGCGGAGGTGGTCACCGGCGGCCGGCGGAGGTCGCCGGTGGGCGGTGGCGGGGGCCGGCGGCAGTGGGCGGCGGAGGTCGGCGGCAGTGGGCGGCGGAGGTCGGCGGCAGTGGTTGCCAGTGGCCTTCGGCGGCGGCGGAGGAGGAGGCCGGCGGAGGAGGTCGGCGGCGGTGGTCGGCAGCGGTGATGGTCAATGGTCAAAGTCTAGTCAGCACCAATTCCTCTGATTTTTTTTTCAAAAAAAAATTCAAAGTGTTGAAAAAATATGGTGAGCTTTGCCTTACAGTTTGGTGAGCTTTGTAGTTGTCCTTGGTGAGCTTTGCAGTGGCCAATGGTGAGCTTTGCGTCATCTGACCGTAGCATGTCATCCCACCATAAGGTGTCATCTCACTGGAGTCAATCCCATATATATATATTATATATATATATATATATATATATATATATCCACCAAACCAAAAAGCTTTTGGTTCCTTAACCTGTGGACCTCCCATTCCTCCTACCTGGCCACCTTTAAGAATACTTGGGACTCTATCCATACGAGAAGAGGAATGCATGGACTGTACATGAAACTTCAAGCCACACAAAAATCCCTTAGTTCCTGGAGTAAAAACACTTAAGGCAACTTCTTCAACAATGTCAAACTAGCAGAGGAAGAATGCACAAAAACGGAGGAGGAGTACGAGGACAACCCTAACAGTGACACTAGATCCACTTGGGGGAAATCCAAAGCACACTTGCTTCAATGTATCCAAACGGAGGAATCCTTCTGGAAACAAAAAGCAAATGCTAAGTGGATCACCCAAGGTGATGCTAACACCTCTTTCTTTCATGCAGCATGCAGGGCTAGATGGCGCAAACAACACATTCACTCCATCCTCAACACCCAAGGAATTTTCAGGTCACCAATGAGGCAGAAATCCTAGACGCTGGAACTTCTTATTTTCAGGACCTCTTCAGCCCCCAACCCACCCACAATATGGACCTCATCCTTCATCACATCCCACACACCATTACTAATCCTCAGAATGAGTCCCTTTGCCTTTTACCAAACAGGGAAGAAATTAAGAATGCTGTCTGGCACTTGGACCCCAATAGCTCAGCTGGGCCAGATGGATTCAACGGCAACTTCTTCAGAGAATCATGGGACATAATCAGTGAAGACGTAATCAGCGCTGTCCAAGAGTTCTTCCTTGGAATCATTCCCCCTAAGGTGATGAGGAAATCAAGCACAGTCCTCATTCCCAAGAAGGATAATCCTTCTTCCTTCAGTTATTACCGTCCCATTAGCCTCACAAACTTCTCCTTTAAAATCATCACTAAAATCCTAGCCTCTAGGCTGACTAATGTACTTCCTGACATCATTTCCATCGAGCAAGGAGGCTTCGTTCCAGGAAGAGACATCACAGATCACATTCTGCTTGCAAGGGAATTCATTCACATTTTGGACAGGAAGACTGAGGGGGGGCAACCTAGCCCTTAAGCTAGACATTAGTAAAGCCTTTGACAACATCTCCTGGAACTACATCGAAAAGTGTTTAGGGCAATTTGGGTTCTCTCAAATATTTATAAACCTGGTCATTAACTCCATCAAATACAATGTTGTTTCCATCCTCATCAATGGCAACTCTTCTAAAGCCTTCAATCCCAAGAGAGGAGTTAGACAAGGAGATCCATTATCACCCTACATCTTCATCATCGCCATGGAAGGGCTGACACGTTCACTTAACCACCTTCATAACCTAGGCAGCCTTAAAAAATACAACACGGGCAGGACCCAAACGATAAACCACCTTACCTTTGCAGATGATGTCTTGACACTACTACAGAATGGATATTTAACAGCATATTTTACAATGCGGACATTTAATAACCGCGGTCTTTTCTTTTGGGGCAAAAAAGGAGCGCATACAAAAAAAGCACCGCACCTCTAATTTTTCAAATACTTTGCCCAGCCCACAAAAAAATATCCGCCGTATTACATACATCGCTGGTTACTTTGCCTAGCAATTCCCAAATTAAAATAGATCGCTGGTTATCATAGACTACCCCTCGCTCAGTTCCCACAGTTCGACGCCATCCTCTGCAGCGAGCATCTTATCGGCGTCGTCCTATTCTCAGGTCACGTCGACAATTGTAATTGCCGGCCCTGTGCGAGAATCGCCTATCTCCGTACGGTCACGAGAGCAAACACTGTTAGCATCTCAGATCCCTCAAGCCCTAGGTTAGAAATTAAGGTTAGCTACGCTCAATTTTCTTTACATTTACTGTGAATAATCCTCTCTATGGCACAAAACAGTTTAGATTCTGTAGTTTGAGACCAGAGGTCGGTGATTGGGGTTTGGACAGCAGATTCTTGTTCTGAACCCACAATCTTGACCTAGAATTGGATATCTAGATAATTTGATGCAAATATTCCCCTTTTCTGGTTCAAATGAAAAAATGTTCTTGTTTGATGCACATATTCACCTTTTCTAGTTTGATGCAAAGATTCACCTTTAAACTGGGCAATATGCATGTTTTTTTAAGCATAGAAAAAAAAGATGACTGATATAACCCCCCACACCACCAAAAAATTGCCTATAGGTACATACCATGTTACAGTGACAAATAAAAGGGGACAATTAGAGGTGAAGGGAATGGAATTCATTCTATCATTTACATACATACTAACATACATATACTAGGAATAATGGGTCTCTCATCTTTATTACCACCTTTTCATAAAGACAAATAGATGTTACTGTATTTTTGGAGTAACTTTACAACCCAATCTGGCCTAGCTCACCACTTGTGATTCATCAAGCAAAACCCATACTAAGGAGGCCTATTTATATATAGTATTATAGTTCAACTAAACCAAAATTAACTATATGTTATACGGAATTGACTGATAATTAATAGCCTAATACATCAATATTGTATTGGTCCAGATTCAAGGCATTACAACACTATACATATGTAACCAAACAAAAATCATATTTTATTAGTTGTTGGTCCATATGCACATTGATGCAGTTTTAGATTCCCAAGCAATAATGATGATGAGCTCTCATCTAGTTTTGCTCTTTTAGTTTCTTTTAACTCAACTGCAGATAGTGTGTAGGGAATTGAAAAAATAAAATGTTAAATAAAAAAACAGCAAACAATGGGGCTTCTAATTTTAGAAGTTGGTGAAAGGCATCAGTATCAGACTCAAGCTAAAAAGTTTGAAAACTAGCATATAAACACCATTGAAGCACATGAATTAAAGTATGTGTAAGAGTGTTCAAAATGGAGCTGCCCCGAGTATTCAGCATACAACACCAAACCCTTAGAATCCCTAACCACCGCAGCGGATCCAATAACCTGAGAAATTTGCAGAGCAGAAACATTAATTTTAAGGGAACCATCTGGTGGGAACTGCCATATGTTGACCTTTCTAACCATAAATAATTTAGACAAAGTCCCAAAAAAATTAAATATGGCTTTCCAGTCAGGCAAAATACTCAACAGAATAGGCCATTTTCTAGCAGCCGCCTCCGCTGCATTCTGCCTCACCTTGAAAATGACTCTGGACACATTAATATGTTGCCCCCCAAATTTTATAGAAGCATAATGAACCCATACTTCCCAAAGAATAAACACAGGTAAGCATTGCTTCAAAAAATCCCTCACACTAGGTTTTTTACTATGCCAAGAAAAAAAGCCATTGGATTTTTGTCTAGATGAAATCACTTTCTGATGATGATAAGCTTATTGCATTATTTACTAAGTATATACGTATTATTTTCAAATTGTGATAAACTTATTATAAACTTTTTGAATGCAACCAATTTGTTTATGAAAAGCTTATTTTGATTTTTGATTTCTCACTTCAGTTGGTATTAGTCCAAAACATGCAACTATTTTTTGCTTTGATTCTGTTCAGGATGCCGAATGTCGCAAAGATGATCTCAAACATATAATAAACTCGTAAGCTAATGTTAGAACAACTTTTTAATGCAAAGAGTTAACAACACTCTAATACTGATGTCATATTTATAATGTTAAAGGGCATTTTTCAACTTAAAGTACCAAGGCAAAGCACATTTTGTACAGCCTGGGAAGGTTCACCCAAGGTGGATAGATGTGAAAGTAAGTATGTTATTTGTTTTTTGTGAAACGTGGGTAAGGTAAATATTAATGTTTGTTATTTTACAGTGTTGTATGCAGGACAAACAACTTGAAGGTGGTTATTTTGTGATGAGGATGATGTATGATATCATGGTCCGAGCAACATTACCATGTATTGATAAAGTAAATTCACTATTATATTCTGTTTTTTTTAATTTGTGCAAAAAATTTAATTGAAAGCTATGTTAATAATGTAATTTTATTAATTATTGATAGAGTTTTGGCAATGACGCATCACCTCTTCAAAGGAAGGACATCAATGAAATAAAATCAATGTTTTGTGCTCACTTGAATTCAAAATATAATGAGCTAATTCATTACACTATGGAAGATATCCGTTCAGTATTCGGCTTCGCAAAGTGAAAGACAACTTAAATTGATGTCGTTCTTCTCATGGCAGGTACGTTTTCCGATTCATAATATACGTTCTATTTGTAAGATATCTAAATGACAGAATATTCTTTGCTACGTAGTTGTAGACCTAGTCATGTTTCATTGCATAAATATGAACATGCAAATCAACCATTGTGATTGAATTTGTCCATGGCTGAATTCGTGTAGTAATGTATATACTCTATATGGTATTAATCACTTAACACAATTAGTCATGTTCATAGAAGTATGATCATTATAAATAGTCCATTATATTAGTGGTGTAAGGATAATGTTTGATTTAGTTTGATATTGGTAGAATTGTTTGTTGAATAATGGTTTGATTTCATATTTGAATTCATTTTCTTCTAAAATACTTTGGTGAAGTGGCTATTTATTTGATACTCCGTACTTGTTTGATCATTACTTCTCTAAAAGAGATGAAGCAGTATGTGCATCAACAACACAGAAAGGGTCATCTAGAAGATAAATTTCTGCATCACTGTAAACTGCTTGAGCCAACTGAATTCTTTGTTTCTGTCACCCACTCATATTCAGCCCTCACTGCCCTATTTCTGTAAAGTCACCATATGTGAAGCTATCGATGTCTTTGTACGTCTAGAGCACACACTCTTATTGCCTCTTCATATCTGCCTTTGTCCATTGATTTCCCAAACAATATGTTATCACAGACCGTTCCACACTCTAGATCTAGCAAGCTTGTGACACATAAGCATTTGAGCCAAACACATTCACCTTTTGTCAAGAAAGAAAAAGAAAACTCTGCAATATCAAGATAAACTAGGGAAAGTTGTAGTTTTAGTCCCTTATTTGTTTGACATTTTAGTTGAGATACAATCAGTCTCTCATATTAAGACAACGATTTAGTATTGAGGGGTTATTTTGGATATACAGAATGCCCTCACAAATGATTATTTGTTTGACATTTTTGTTGAATAAATGTTTAATTTCACATTTGAATTCATTTGGTTCTAAAATACTTTGGTGATGTGGCTATTTGTTTGATACTTGTTTGATCAGAAATGGACGGAGATCATTTATTTGTTGTCATATGTGTAGGTGGATTCAAAAGTTGGTTTTGAACACTCTTCTAAGGCGATAAAAAATCAGGGGCAGACTTGAAGCTTAGAGGATGACTTCTGTTATAGCTAACTTTTTGTTGCAATATGGGGTGCAATATCAAGATTTGGTTTGCTACACATAATGATAATTCGTGAGATATAATATTATTTTTGGATGTTTGTTGGGATACATTATCAAGTAGAATATTTTATCGGATGTTTATTTGTTATCAAGTTTTAGTATGATGAATCTGGGAACTTTTTGTATTATTTTAAGTTGTATGAAAGTACGATTAATATCTTGCTATGATTTAAATAAAGTATTTGTGGAATTTGAAAATGGTACAGATCTTGCATAGTGGATATTTATTTTTAACATAGCGCATATATCCATTATTAAAGTATTTGGCGTTGTTAATCTTCCCTTACACAGTGCATAAAAATTCGAAGTGTAAAATATACTCCCTCTGTCCTATATCTTTCTTTCCGTTGCGCAAAATGAAGAAAAATTCCAAGTTTTTTCAATCTATTTTATTTAAATATTGGTATATAATTAAAAAATAAAACATACATATTTTAGAAACTACATCAAAAGTTCAACAAAACAAGTGGTGACAAGCATATTTTATTTTATCATATAGGCCATGAAAAAACACAAATAAGGATAAGTTCCCGTGAAGTTGGAATAGTGCTCTGAAAAGAAAGTTTTAGGACGGAGAGTGTAATATTTTTTGGGGAATCCATTCACAGCGGATAAATATTCGCTGTATAAAAGCCTGACGTTTTTTTAAGTACCTTTTCACAGCGGATATTTATCCGCTGTGTAATCAAGAGCATTTTTTCACAACCAATACACAGCGGATATTTATCCGCTGTGTAAACATAAAACCTTTCCCACCGGCCAGATACATAGCGGTACATTTCCGCTGGGAAAGGCCAAACTTATCCGTTGTGTATTCCTTGTTCTGTAGTAGTGCTCGCAATAGTGGGTTGTTCTTGAGGAGAATGTGTGTGTGTGTGTGTGTGTATATATATATATATATATATATATATATATATATATAGGGGCTGGTTCAGGTAAGAATGCACCTTGGTGAAAGAAATAAGAATAAAATCTAGCCTTTTGATCGGATGCATCGTGCGGCTCAGATTGCATCCTGCACTCAGATTTTGAGATTGTGTATTTTCAAAGAATTTTGATGCATTTCGACATGATGCATTTTTAACCCATTTTGGTGCACCTAATTTTGATGCAATCTTGACCCTTAAATCTCACAATCTAAAGCACCAGATTCATTCTTATTTCTTTCATAAGATCGCATTCTGACTTGAACCAATATATATATATATATATATATATTGAAAATTTATTTTTTTCGATTTACGGAACATAATTACCAAAAAAGAATCTAAATTAGGTTTGGAATCTCGCTATTAGGCAACACACGATTCATAATCGATAGAGAAGAGCTCGAAATAGGTGTGGAATAGGAATAATTTAGAATCGCACATGTATTTTGGGGAAAAAAACCTGGATCTTCAAGCGCGCTAAGAATCTGCAACGAATCTGGGTTCACGGCTTTCTTCGCGAAGAATCGCAAAAATTTTGGGCGAAGAAGATTTTGGGCAAATCTGAAGAAAAAACTTGGGCGAAGAATATATTGGGCAAATTGGAGATCAAGGTTCACTGCTTTTTTCGCAAATTGAATATGGCCAGGTTTGGAAATAAGGCAAATAATCCGCAAAAAACTTTTTCAAGCACGTGTATTTCTTCAATTTGCCATATTTGGGTGAAGAAATTTTTTGGCGATGAAGAAAGACCAAAATCGCACCGCGGAAGCGTAGCGGCTTGGAAGGAATCTGCGATTTTGTATCAGAAGTGAACACTTGCTTACGTGTCAGTAAAATAGGACACCTAAATTGCCACATGTCACATTCTTAAGAATCAAAGTCTCAAATTTTATATTAAATGATTTGATAAAATAAAATAGTCTTGTTACCACTTTGTAGAACTTTTGACGTAATTTTTTAATATGTAATTTTTTTATTTATATAACAATTTGTAAATAAAATAATAATGCAAAAATACCTCGATGTTGAAGCTATCCTTTGTTCTTTTGCCCGCCATTTAATGAAGCAATTAATTACTCACGCGTTACATTGCAAAAGAATGCCAAAAGAATACCAAATTATTGTTTGGTTTGCCGATGATATTGTTCTTTTTGCAGAAGCGACTGTCGAACAAATGAAGGTGATATTGATCTTAGACTCTTTTAAATTCTTTTTTACCCTATAGTTTTCTTTTCTTCAAAAATGAAGGAACTGATTTTGCACGTGTACTCTACATCATCCATTAAAGATACTCTTAAGAATGAATAAATATGTATACAGATTTGATTGTAACAAATAATTGCAAATGGTGTCAAAAGACATTTGAATATATATATAGGGGAGGATAATGTAGTCTGGGATTCTCCAAATAATTTTCAAAATGCTCGAAAAAAGTTTCATATTTGTCAAACTACCTTGTAAGAGCACTGGAAATACTCATGAAGCCCCGGGGCTTCAAACCGGGGCTTCAAAATTTTTCTCTCTGCCACATCAGCTTTAACTTACCTCACAGATTTAGTGGAAATGGGTTTGAAGCCCCGGGGCTTCAAACAGGGGCTTCAAACCTTCATTTTTTACATTTTTAAATATACATCTTCTAAATTTAAATTATTAAATTTTAATTAATTTATTATTTAAAATAATCAAAAGGAGACTAGTGCATTAAAAAAATTACATTCAATAAAAAAATTACATTCATAAAAGAATACATTCACAAAAAAGGTTACATTCATAAAAAAAATATTACATCCATAAAAAAACAACACTACAAAGAAATTACTAATTACTCGAGCAACTAAAAATATCTTCATTCAAATCCGAGTTGTAATAACATATTGCAAACTGAAATAATTCATTAAATAAAAATATAGTCAATAAAAAAAGTATGTTAAATTTAATAAAAAACAAAAAATTACATTACTAAAAAAAATTCAAACCAAAAATATATAGAGTAAAAAAATTATATTTGTGTATATTTGTTTTAAAGAGAGGGTGAGAGAGGCTTTGAAGCCCGTTAAAGGTTTGAAGGAGAAGAAATGAAGCCCCTTTGAAGCCCCAAGGGGGCGGTGTTTGCTGCCCCTTTGGCGTGAAAAGGAGTAATAACGCCCCCGGCGTTACACCCATTACCAGTGCTCTAAGTGTGAGTTGCCCAAAGTATCCAAGCCTTTAATGATGACTAGCTTAAAAAAATGAAAAAGAAGGCCAAGTCACGAAGCGATGGGTATCATGTAGAGAAGCCGACCACACAGCATATCCGAATCCCAAACGCCACAAAAGGTACTCTCCGTATCCTGAATTTGGACTAACCTACCGGCGCTTTAGAGGTGAATAACACGAGACGTTTAGGAATGGCACAAACTAAAATAGGGAGAATCAAAACAACTACTACTACTCAAGATGTCTTGAGCTCTGAATGAGTGAATGGGCAGATTGATCACAAACACTATGAATTTCAAACTAGAAAGGGAAGTTAATTCTCCAAATAAAAAAGCCAAAACAAGGTAAGAAATCTAGGCCAATGTCAAAGAGATCGAAGCGATCAATACACAGAACGAAAACATGACCATTCAAAACACTCTACAAGCTAGTAGCTACCGCTTAGTGGGTGAACGTTTGAGTATGAAGTCTCTGATTTCCTCATTGGCCCTATCAAGCGCAGTGCACCCATCGGCATCCTTGACCGTGTAATCAGCACCGGCTCTCAGTAACTCTTCGATCTTAGGCTTGTCCCCTTCGCTAGCAGCCATAAGTAGCAATATGTCCACAGGGTGGATTTCTTGGCTTAAAAGAGCCTCCATCTTGTCGTAAGAACCTTCCACAGCCAGCATCCCCATATAGTTGTAATACTGCATAAGAGGTCACACACACACTCTGAATCATTTTGCTCTCAGTCTTTCTTTTTTAGCTCTAAATAAAATGAGTTGTCATCCGGATGCTTTTCTCATTCTTTTCTTCACATATACTCCCTCTGTCCCAAAACAAATCATCTCATTTTGAACAATGTGACAAAATCTTATCTCTTTTAACATTATTTCATTTACAAATTGGTATAGAAATAAGTACAAATTACATATCCTTGAGTATTTCAAAATTACCTAAAAAGTTTTACTCCAAAAGTTATCTAAAAGCTAGTTACTGAGACAAGATTTTTGGAACTGTGTGTATTCATATTATGTGTGGAAATGGGGATGTTGTTATGATGTAAACATTTGGTTTAGCAGAAATGGCAACTTTTCAGTTTTCCCTTTGACACAAAAATCCAGAAAGGTGAGCTTCAGAATAATTAGATCAATGGAAAACGGTTTGAATTTTCCCGTTACCACTTCCAATTTTCATTCTTCAATTACACGAAGTTGGAACACAAACCCGAATCAAAAAGATCAATTTCATCAACAGAAAGGGAAAAGGTGACATACCTGTTCAACATCATCTCGGTCGAAGTCATCTCGTGATTGGGTACCATAAATGCCAGCACCTTCCGCATCGACGCCATTTTTGCCGAATCGGAACCAGCAAGTTGTTGTTGTTGAACAACCAGAGGCGGGTCGGGGTCCGGAGGGCCTGCACCATCGCAGTTTCTTCCCCACAAATTGAGATCTCAGCTTTGGTTGAGAAGGGGGATAAGAAGACGAAATCCCTGGCCTCGATGATACTGTCAATTGGATAGGTCTTGAAATTGTGGCCATGTTTCAGAGCTGTTATTCAACTTCCTTGTAAACAAGGCTAAAGGACTTCTTTCAGAAAAAAAAAAAGAGGCTAAAGAACTAGCAACGGATCGGAGTCAGTTTGGGGAGAAAAATGAGTGGCCAGAAAAATGAAATAAAATGATGAGAAAACAAAGAGAAACGAATTATTGTCTTTGCTCTTAAAAACATTTTCTGTTTTAACTTTTTTATGAAATAGTTATACTATTCGAAAAGAAAATTTAATTATAATATAGATTTAATATAATTGAGTTTGTCTTAAGATATAGTTTTGATATATCAAATTTTATATCATGTTTTTGTTTGGATTATATTTAATTTATGGTCAAAGAATCACTGTTTGACCAAAAAATGTTAAAACAGACAAGATTTAGGACCGGAGGAAGTAAAAATAGGGTGAATTAGTGTATAATGTTGAATTAGCAAATACTCCCTCCGTCCCGGAGTATTCGTCCAGTTTTGACTTTTGGAACTGTTCATCTAAGCACTTTGACTTATCAAATTCTCTCAATGTGTAAGCCTAAATATAGTCATGTGTGATCTTGTTTGATTTGTCTTAACATATAGATTATTAATATATAATTTCTATAATTTTTTAATATACAAATTACAAGATAAAATGGATTAAAGAAGTGTATTGAATGGTATGTAAAAATGAAAGTGGACAAATACTCTAGGACGGAGGTGAAGAATTATGAATTTCCTTGAACAATAATGTGGGAGTACATGTGTTTATATACACAAGCTATTCCTAATCCTAGTTATGGTAGGATTATACAAAAGGAAACAATATGTGTACAATAAATATAGAATATATATTTAACATAAATATAGTATATATTTAACATGCTCCCGGCTACGTCGGCGTCGGCGGAGGGCGAATCCCGAGGCTTGTCCGAAAATCTTGGAATAATATGGACGGGAGGCCTTTTGTGAAAATATCAGCGTACTGTGATGAGGATGGCACATGAAGAACTCTGATCTGGCCAAGGGCCACTTTGTCACGAACAAGTGAATGTCTACCTCAATGTGTTTGGTGCGCTGATGCTGAACCGGGTTGGTGGAGAGGTAAACAGCACTGACGTTATCGCAGAAGATAAGTGTGGCGCGGCGTAGAGGCTGTTGTACCTCGAGAAGAAGATTTCGGATCCAGCTGGTTTCAGCAACGGCATTGGCAACGGCTCGGTACTCTGCTTCAGCGCTAGATCGGGAGATAGTGGCCTGGCGTTTAGAGGACCAAGAGATGAGGTTGTCCCCAAGGAAGACACAGTAGCCTGATGTGGATCGTCTAGTGTCGGGGCACCCAGCCCAATCAGCATCAGAATAGGCCTGGAGAGAATCTGTGCTGGAGGGAGATAGAGTCATACCGTAGGTGGAGGTGCCACGAAGATAGCGTAGGACACGCTTCATAGCCGTGACGTGGGCATCTCAGGGGGCGTGTAGATGGAGACAGAGCTACTGAACAGAGTAGGAGATGTCGGGCCTGGTGAATGTGAGATACTGGAGGGCTCCAACTATGGAGCGATAGAGAGCTGGGTCGGCTGCGAGAGAGCCTGATGTGCCAGACAGTTTGGCCTTCGTGTCGACGGGAGTGGAGATGGGACGACAAGTGATCATGCCGGCACGCTCAAGGATGTCGTGCGTGAACTGTGTTTGATGCAAAAAGAGACCATGTGCTGTCCGGTGAACATTGATGCCCAAGAAAAAATGAAGGTCGCCCATGTCAGTCATAGCAAATTCCCCTTTAAGGCGCTCAGTGAGGCGCCGAAGGAGAGACTCAGAGGAAGCTGTGAGGACGATGTCATCAACATAAAGGAGTAGGTAGGCCGTGTCTGTCCCATGAGAGTAGATGAAGAGAGAGGTGTCAGACTTACACCCTCGAAAACCTAGCGTGTAGATGAACCCAGCAAATCGTTGGTACCACGAACGAGGAGCCTGTTTCAAGCCATAGAGAGCCTTTTTGAGCCTGCATACATAGTCGGGCCTGTGAGGATCCTGGAATCCTGATGGCTGAGAGGCATAGACAACTTCCTGCAAATGGCCATGAAGAAAGGCATTTTTGACGTCCAACTGATGGATCGGCCATCCTCGAGAGAGTGCAAGCCTGAGAATGATGCGTATAGTAGCTGGCTTGATCACAGGGCTAAATGTCTCATCATAGTCGACTCCGAATATCTGGTTGAAGCCCCGAACAACCCATCGAGCTTTGTACCTGGTTAACTCACCTGTAGGGCCAAGTTTGTGCCTAAAAAGCCATTTTCCGGTTATAATATTTTGGTGGGGGGAGGGGGGTACTAGTTCCCATGTGTCATTCTTAATCAAAGCATTAAATTCTTCACACATGGCATTGTGCCAATTGGGATCTTTGAGAGCACTACGGTAGGTGAGAGGTAGGGGGGAGATGGGTACAGTGGTGTTGAGGTTGAGAATTTGTTTGGGACAGGTTATGCCAGTTTTGGAACGCGTGACCATG